AGAGGCAATACAGGGTATTAAAGACATGTAGAATTATGTTTGTCTCAAGTATATTCTTTAAACCAAAGATTTATTATTTACCATGTTTACTGAAAACAACAACACTTCTTTAATAGTGCAATTGTTATATTATCATAGCAGATAAAGAGCCTGAATATGCATAGCTAGCTTAATTTTAATGATAATTATTTAGCATTTCTTGGGATGATAAACTTGACATATGACAAAATAAGAAATGTATTCTTATTTATTATTCTCCCATTACAAGGTTTACAGTGTTTTTTTCACATAATCTGATTGGCTGCCTGAGAGTGAAAAGCTGTGTCGCTATTTTAATCAGAGAACTTAAATTATTCTAATGTTTAATGTGTAAATTTTCAGAACATGGTAAGTAAAGAAAAACTCAAATTTATGGGTGATGAAGAAATGACCAACAAGAGGTCCTCTTATAACATTATACCATAAACCTCATTTCTTTACATTAGCAATGTCTAATTTTAATTTCAATACTTTTTACAAAAAAATCATATATGAACAGGTCACTAAAATACAAATTTCTTATGAATCTTGTTTTCATGAAGATAAAAAGAAGAAAATGTTAAGGTTAAATTACCTATCATCAGTAAGTCTTAACTTCTAATCTGATAAAATAAAAAAAGAATAACGTTGAGGTAACTGTTGCAGTAAAATAACAATGTAACATTACAAAGGTATTAAAATGCAAATATTTGTAGAACTATTGAAATGATAATTTATTGTTTATATATATTCTATGTATTTATGTTTCACACACAATAAAGTATTGTGCTTGTCAAATTCACATTGTTTCTTGTCATTAACAAATATGGGGAAATTAGATAACTCATTTAGTAACATTTTTGGTGTCATGATGTTAAATATTATGTTTAAAAGAAAAATTGTCCACTGAATAAGTTATATATATATATATAATAAAAACACATGTGCTCACCATGTTCAGGAACAAAACAAAAACAAAAAAAGCTGACGTGAAATAATCATCATTTTACATATATTAAATTATTCACTGTAAAATTAGTTTTAAAGAGGAAAATTCGTTCAAAAATATTACAATCCATTGATGGATTTGAGAAGATTTACCTAGCAGTAATCAGCTGATCAGTTGCCTGAGTTGGTATTTATAGAATCTTGCCTGATCAATCCTGCTGACAGTTCCTTGGGCCCTTGTTTTTCTTTAACAATATTTCACAATATGTAAGACAATATTTAATTCCTTCTTAATTGGGTTTATAACATTTGTTTCTAAATAAACAAATAACGTATTTACATACACTAAACAGGTGGTCCTATTTAGTGTTGCGCATTGAGAATGATAGTCACGGCGAGACGAATGCAAATAAAGTTATGAGCCGAGTAATCCAAAACCATTGACAAATATCAATTCACATTACTAATTCTCAAAACGTTACTCCCATCAGCTTTTAATAGTTTACAAAAAACATAACATAAATGCTAACAAGTGGCTTGCCTGTCACGGGAAAACTCGTGTGGGTTGTCTTCGCTAGATCCTTTTTACCTGTTTATGGTGCAGTTGTCTTACTTAGCAAATTCGAAATCGAGGCTTGAGGGAATCCCGAGTGGTTTCTAAACCGGGAAATCTTCAACTACGATCTCGACTTTTTATGGCGTATTGTTATGGGAGAAAAAGATTTAACCACTGTGTTCGGTTGTTACCGAAAAATCTACACACTCGTGATTAATCTGCCACAGTTAGAACTCGGCAACATTGAATATTCAACGTGGTGCCAATACCTAACATCCCACATGGTGCCATTACTATCATAGCGACCGATCTGGGACAACCTTTGTCTGAATGAAAAAACCGTTAATTACCCTGTAGCAAAAAATGTATATGTCCAGTATCTTAATTGCCATTACTTATAAGATGTAAATTCCAATTATTAATCCCCATTGTATTGTACAGTGATTGTCAGCCATCCTGAATGAGCTGTGTACTATGTGACTTACTATGTATTGTTCTATATATTTATGACTTAATCGATGTCAGATGACCTTGGATATAAAAGCCTTGGTCCAGCGACGAAACGGGAGAAGGTCTTACCCTCAGCCTAGCTAGGGTTATGCGAGGTACTCCGGGGCACCAAGACAACAACCACTACCACTAGCTACGATAATAGCGTGAAATGAAGTTACAAACTGTTCTGTGTGGATGCCAATATGTCTCTGGTCTTACCCTCAGCCTAGCTAGGGTTATGCGAGGTACTCCGGGGCACCAAGACAACAACCACTACCACTAGCTACGATAATAGCGTGAAATGAAGTTACAAACTGTTCTGTGTGGATGCCAATATGTCTCTGGTCTTACCCTCAGCCTAGCTAGGGTTAGGCGAGGTACTCCGGGGCACCAAGACAACAACCACTACCACTAGCTACGATAATAGCGTGAAATGTAGTTACAAACTGTTCTGTGTGGATGCCAATATGTCCCTGGTCTTACCCTCAGCCTAGCTAGGGTTAGGCGACGTACTTCGGGGCACCAAGACAACAACCACTACCACTAGCTACGATAATAGCGTGAAATGAAGTTACAAATTGTTCTGTGTGGATGCCAATATGTCTCTGGTCTTACCCTCAGCCTAGCTAGGGTTATGCGAGGTACTTCGGGGCACCAAGACAACAACCACTACCACTAGCTACGATAATAGCGTGAAATGAAGTTACAAACTGTTCTGTGTGGATGCCAATATGTCTCTGGTCTTACCCTCAGCCTAGCTAGGGTTATGCGAGGTACTCCGGGGCACCAAGACAACAACCACTACCACTAGCTACGATAATAGCGTGAAATGTAGTTACAAACTGTTCTGTGTGGATGCCAATATGTCCCTGGTCTTACCCTCAGCCTAGCTAGGGTTAGGCGACGTACTCCAGGGCACCAAGACAACAACCACTACCACTAGCTACGATAATAGCGTGAAATGTAGTTACAAACTGTTCTGTGTGGATGCCAATATGTCTCTGGTCTTACCCTCAGCCTAGCTAGGGTTAGGCGACGTACTTCGGGGCACCAAGACAACAACCACTACCACTAGCTACGATAATAGCGTGAAATGAAGTTACAAACTGTTCTGTGTGGATGCCAATATGTCTCTGGTCTTACCCTCAGCCTAGCTAGGGTTAGGCGAGGTACTCCGGGGCACCAAGACAACAACCACTACCACTAGCTACGATAATAGCGTCAAATGAAGTTACAAACTGTTCTGTGTGGATGCCAATATGTCTCTGGTCTTACCCTCAGCCCAGCTAGGGTTAGGTGAGATTCAGAAAGTTTATCCATAAATCAATACTCCATTATTTAACTATGCATATTTATTTCTTAATAGGGGAGCATCATTACCTTCAGATGATTGATTGTAAATAGTTTCGACATGCTACACCGCCCATTACATTATTTTGTTAAGTGTGTCTCTGAAACATAACAATACGTTAGTTTGGCGTTTAATATTGATGCTATTCAGTACATGTGTGTACAGAGGCACGGGTGGCCCAGTCGTCTAAAGCGCCGCGATTCGCTGTGCAGAGTTGCGTCACTTGGACACGCCAGAAACCTATGATTGTGGATTCGAATCCCGGTTCCCCCCGATAATGTTTCTAGGTTTGTCAGCACCATACCCGTGCTCGTGGGTTTCACCGAAGTGGTAAACGTCTGAGACATGCATCGCTTCGGGCTTTCCTCCAGCATTAAGCTGACACGCCGCGATATAACTGTAATACTGTTATAAGCGGCGTTAAACCCAACTCACTCACTCACACACATGCATACTATACATCTGTCATCTTACCTTAGAGATTAAAGATCAAGTCTCATGGTTTAGGTACAACTTTGCAGAACTGGATAGATCGTAACATCGTTTCTGCAAATATCGTATTCAAAACATCGAGAGCTACATTAATTTGCACCTCAGTCCTGCCTATCGATTTCAAAGACTGAAACGAAAATACAGCCGAGGCGGAGACTTTATACATAGAGGCTCCACATATGGTCACTGTTGGATGAGATATCCTCCAAACTCACACGCTTGATCACACAATCAGCATGCCCTCCGTTCGCGTTCATAGTCGGTTGAATACGTTTCGTAAACTCAACATAGCATTTTACGGATTTTGATATTTTAGGCCATACACAAATGCTTGACCAATAATAAATTTCCAAAACGGAAATAGCGCACAGGAGTCGATAAAAAATGACACCGGAGTTCAAACGTGTGCCCGGTGTTTGACGTGCTTAAAACGATCGGGCCGGCGAACTGCTACCGCCTCTGATTTGTTAATGCCATTATGGGCCGTTTTCTGTCTGCTCATTTGTTTGATTACCGTGTCCACAACTTATGTCGACTTATATCTTATTACTAACAACATTAGAAGATGTTTGCAGTTGTCTACTCAGGAGTTTAATTTCTAATATTTTTTTAGAAACCATGTCCCATTGTCACGCAGTATGCGCGAAGTTGAAAAGCATGGTGCAAGGACCAGATCTCTGTAAAAAATGAATTTATGACACCAACTTTCGAACTAATTTGAGATCGTGACCAGTAACAAGATTGGGTAGAATTTCATTTCTCCAAAATGTGTCCCCATTGAGAAGGGATAATCATTTATAGGCAGACGTCAAAGGTGGCGTTAAACAACCTCCTTCAAGACGGAGACCAAGCCAACATAACTTGTGTTTACATTCACAGTAGATGGCTTCAAGAACGTAGCTTTAGGCAAGCCAGCGTCAATGAACGGATATCGAGAGGGAAACCCACCATCGGCAGCAGTGGATGGGAACTACACAACGTTCATCCATCCTCCCAATGGGCCATTGGCTCCTATCAGTTGGTGGGAGGTGGACCTCCTCGGCACCTACTATATCGTCAGCGTCAGTATCACAAACCGAGAGTGCTGTGGTGAGTAGCTTTGGAACCCTACAACAGACTCTTTCAAACACAAGAAGTGACTGCATGTTATCATCTTGGGAGATCTCAGAAGTACATACTCGTAACTTAAATTCTGTCTTTTCTTCACATCTTAAAGCGCAATGCAGATTGATTCCATGATTTTCTTAATAAATATTGAAACAATTTTTAGAAGTTAACTTCTGCGAAGCATTATTTTGTTCTTCACACAAGTTGTGGTGAAAAGTTTGAAGGGGGTAGATTTTTTAGGTGTGTCCTTTTTACCTTAATATGTATTAAAACATACCTTCTGCCCGGTATGTCTTGACAAGTTGTGCACACAGAAGATTCACAACTGTGCAATGTGATATTGTCAATCTCATCAACACCATCAATGAAATTAAATTTTTAACTTTTATGATAACAGTTCATTTTGCCATTGAATATATCTAGGGATTTATAACAATTTGTTGGAAACGAGTTTGAACATCTAGAATATCTACATTCAAGATAATAAAGACCAAAAATACCAATGGTCTTCAATTCATTCCAGATTATCGACTAAGGAACTTTACAATCGACCTTATTTCTGACGACCTGTCCGCCAACCCGACCACCCGACTGTGTCACTTCTACCCAGGGAGCATTGGAAAGTATGTCACTGAGGTCATTGCTTGTGATGACCTGCTGACCGCACAAAAGGTCAGGGTCACGAAGAAGGGTCATCTTGACTTCAGTGAGGTTTCCATCAAGGCCCTGCCTGCATGTGGAGGTTAGGACGTATATCTAGTTATATATTATATCAATTCAATTAATAACCAAAATATTCTCAAGAATTAAAACCTATAAAAATTAGAAAAGTTTCATTTACTTTCACTTCTACATAGGATAGTATGGGGGGATGGGGTGTGGTTTAACGCCGCGTTAAACATTATCACTCGTATAGAGCAACGTGCAGGTACGTGTGTGCGTGTGTGTGTGTGTGTTCGTGTGTGTGTGTATGTGTGTGTGTGTGTGTGTGTGTGTGCGGGCGTGTGTGTGTGTGTGCGGGCGTGTGTGTGTGCCTACTTCATTAAAAATACTGACCCAAACGTGTGTGGCTGATTGTGGCTCCTGTAGTGATAGCCAACTGAGATACCACGCCGCAGTTTAACATGGACACCCCACTGAGACACATTGCAGTGAACCGATCAGTACTTGTTTTATCTCCTTAATGCCGAACGCCAGGCAACGTTACAACAAGTTGTTGTTGTTGTTTGTTGTTTTACGCCGCATTCAGCAATATTCCAGCTATATGACGGCGGTCTGATCAGCGAGCCTGACCACCCGATCCCGTTAGTCGCCTCTTACGACAAGCATAGTCGCCTCACCGACACTCTATCCACTAAACGACAGATGACATTCTTGCCCAATGCACCGCAATCATGAGGCGTGCCAGAATCCTCTGATATGTTCGAGTCCAAGCTCCACCATGAATATGATCTTTGATATCTTAACACCAGACCTGTCTTTAACTGAAGTGGTTAACATCAACGACGTGCATCATTTCGGGTTTTCCTCTCACATCAAACTGAAATGCTCACTAAAATACTGTTCAAAGCAGTTTTATGTTGAATGTCAAAACCCTGGACCACCCTAAGATGCCCATACCTACTCTTGGGTAGTCAGGTTAGTAACCTTGAAGTGACGTCTTCGTTAGAGTGGAATTTGCTTCTTTTATTGATTCCATGCTGAATAAAATCATTTAAATGAATATAATTAACTCAGTATTGAGAGAATACACTCTTCAAAAAGAAGCGCACGGGTAGATTTTTTAGTAAATTTATTGTACCTAATAAAGTCGATATATTATTTAATATCATAGATACAAATATGAAATACTAGAGCTTCATAGTCACTTGTTGTCGTTGTACAAAGGCATTGAAAACTGTTCATTGTCATTGTCACATAAGACCACAAGGTTGCGCTGAACTCAGTGTGACCGCCCCGGCAGCAATCACGGCTCTGCGCCTCCTCGGCACTGACTGAATAAGTGTACGAATTTTGTCCCTGGGAATTCTGCGCCATTCTGCTTGTAACGCGTTGGCCAGTTGTGAGAGTGTCGGCGGCGTGTTCTGACGTTGACGTACACGTCGCTCGGGTTCATCCCAGAGGTGTTCGATTGGGTTGAGATCTGGAGATCTCGACGGCCAGGGAAAGCCGTTGATGTTGGCATTATGAAGGTAGTCTACCGTGACACGAGCTGTGTGGGGTGGAGCGTTGTCCTGTTGAAACAGCTCCCTCTGGCGATCAATGATTGGAAGAAGGTGAAGTTGAAGAATTTGATTCATGTGGCGATTTGCTGTCAACTTTCCCTGAACCACAACCAAGTCAGATCTCGTGGTGTAGGATATGGCACCCCACACCATGACACTGCCGCCACCGAATTTGTCGATTTCATGTACACAATATGGGGCAAAACGCTCATTTCGACAACGATAAACACGTTGTCTTCCATCTCGCCGGTGAAGAAGAAATCGCGATTCATCGCTAAACCACACTCGTCTCCAGTTTCTCAAATTCCAAGTTTGTAAGATGTGGCACCAACGCACCCTCTTTGGATACGTCCTATGGCGATGTTCAGAGGCTCGGCATTTTTGAACTTGAAAAATGTTGACAATAAAATGACAAATTATTGGCTTATGCTTGCCTTTTTATAGCCACAACCACGAGTTACGAATGCCATAACTTGCACGTGCATTTGGCTTTACTGTTTTCCTCCATGACATATTTGAACAAGTGTGAAAACAATGCCGTTTAAGACATTGCAAATCGACAAAGGCTGCGTTTTGACGCACCGTTTGTCCAGTATATGGCCACAAACATTTTCCAATAACATATATCCAATTTATATACTGGATTTCTTTAGACGTCAGGTTCATTGAACTACATACTACCTGCGTTTCTTTTTTTGAAGAGTATATATTATTCTGCTATTCGTAAGGAAAATTAAGCTTATTATGATAAATCTAAATACTTTCGAAACAATAATGCAACTTTAATGATGATTTTGTGTTAATATGAACTTTCGTGTCGTTTTACATGCATTGAATAGAAAAGGGACAATCAGGATTTGTAAGGCCAAGAAACACTTGTTAAACTCTCATAGTTGTGTGTTATGGACATACACATGGCTTTGTATTTATATCTAAGGTTGCATGTTATGTGTTTTATTCTTGGATACAAATGGCTTACCAGAAATGTGGTAACCTGGTTGACTCAGGGCACTTGAAGTTAAATAATCGAACGCACAGAGTTTTGAATCAAATTCGCTCACTCGCTCTCTTCCAGGTTTGCAGTTTACATTGAACCCTGGAATCCGAAGACTGGACACTGCCTTGCGTCAGCTAGTTGTGGATTCTACAACCATGTGTGCAATACACTGTCGAGAGGAAATTGACTGCGACGCCTTCCAAACACTGACGTCAGCAACCAATGTGACGTGTCAACTTCTCGTTGGCAAAAATGGGAATACCGTCACTGATAACAATTGGAAATACTATCATTTGGCTGTATGACAATACAGCTTTCATGTTAGGGCACGTTCACGTTTGTGTTTAGATATTCCCTTGGTTTAATTTATGTGAAATGTATTCTTTAATTTAGGTCGTCAGTTTTAAACTTCAAACTTTCTTGTCAATCGCACCTATTTGTCTTCTTAAACCTCATCCATTATCCTTCTTCATCTGTGTCAGTTAATTGTCATGTCTACCTCATTAGGTTTGTGTAACTGTATAGCATATGTAACTTCATGTAGTCATTGGGGCGGTCGGGTAGTCTAGTGGTTAAAGCGTTCGCTCGTCACGCCGAAGACCCGGGTTCGATTCCCGACACGGGTACAACGTTTTAAGCCCATTTCTGGTGTCCCCCGCCGTGATATTGCTGGATATTGCTTAAAGCGGCGTAAAATCAAACTCACTCACTCGTGTAGTGATGTATTTCAATTCTGTGTGTTAGGATGTGCCGCTCGGAGCAAACTCTCTTGGATGAACTGTATGTTTCATATCTGCTGCAAACTTCACTCATTGTTGTATTTATCGATGTAGTGTTTAAAGGCTATGTGTTAAATGTTGTCTTTCATTCTAACCAAGAGCTACTTTCCTTGAGAAAACCGGATTGTATAAAAAAACATTTTTTTAGAACCAACAGCGAATACACTGTCACTTTCTGTCTATAGTCAGTGTAGATAATAACAGAATTGTCCTACATGATGTTTGGACCCGTGAATATCCGGGGTACAATAGGTCTTCAGCAACCCATTCTTGCAGTAAGAGGCGACAAACGAGATCCGTTGATCAGGCTCGCTGACTTGGTTGAAGCATGTCATCGTATCCCAATTGCGTGGATCGATGCTTATGTCAATCACTGGATTGTCTGGTCCAGACTCAATTATATACAGACCACCGTCATATACATGTAACTGAAATACTGAGTGCTGCGTTAAACAAAAAACAAACAAACAAAAAACATGATGTTTTTAGAATTCAGGTTTAAAGATTGTAGAGAACATGTGACCTCTGTGTAATCGACATTACGGGTCCGGGGTTTTGGTATATCCTATTTGAGATTTGTTGCAGATTTGTTTATCTTTTCTGAAACATTTGGATTTGCGTTCGAAACCTTGATATAATTACGTGGCTATAATCTTAGCATAGTTGGCGTTATTTCTACTTCCCTAATGGCTGCTTATCAAACTTGGTCAATATTCATATAAGTTTCACTGTTGAATCTGGTTCAAGACCATCAATATAATCATCTTTAGTAATAACGTTATCAACACGTTTCAAGATAATACATTAAAATTTTAAAAGGCTTACCTTTTCGGCGGTAACTAATAAACATGTTTGGTCTTTATTGTATATAAAACTTTGTCTTAAAGTGCAAACCTTATCATGATGGTCTTATCACTTATGTTAGTCATAATTCTAGTCCGTGGTATCCGATTTAAGTTTATTTAAAAGAAAGACCATCATTGCCACGTCGCTTGGGGTGTATGACCAGCCGAGTCGAAGTTTCCCAGCTCAACGTCCGCTCTTTGTCACGCCTAACGTACATAAGTGAGGTGAGGTGAGGTGAAATGGGGTTTAACGTCTCATCCAAGATTATTGCACTTCTATAGCGACGTGCATGTACGTGTGTGTGTTTGTGTGGATGCTTGTACTAGTCCGGACTGATGCCGATTTATATTTAGTGCTAGCTCACTGAGACACCATGCCGCAGTTTAACATGAATACCCCACTCAGACACAGTATACTGACTCCGAGCCGACCAGTCCTTGTTTTAGCCCCTTAATTCCGACCGTCAGACAGGGTAACAACAAAAACCATCTTTTAATGTCTTTTGGTATGACGCGGCCGGGGAACAACGTACATAAGTACATAACATAAGCAAGCAGTTGGATATCCACGACTTGATATTTATGCCAGGCTCAACTCACTATGTGATTTCTCTCATAAAGAAAATACACAAGATAATAAACTGGGCGGCAAAAGAAAGTATAGGTCGAGTTCCATGATCGATAAAAAATATCAAGAAGAGGTTTTGTTGTGAATTATAATATAATCTAGGTAGGGGTAACACATGATTGATCAACCCAGTTTGAATGAAATTGGCAATCACAGGTAATGTAAGCTCAAGGTAAACAATGGTGGGGTAAGAAATTTCATTTTCAAAAGTTGTCTGAAATGTCACCAAAACATTGTCAGACACACTACAAGTTCATTGTCGACACAGTTGCCTTCAATAGCGTGTATGACCTCCAGCTGCCTCAATGCATGCTGTGATACGCCGCCTCATCGATGACGTCAGTCTTCTGATGACGTTGACTGGAATCCGTTGCCACTCGTCTCTCAGGGCCTGCTGCAGTTCTTGTCTGTTGACTGGAGGCTGATGGCGTGCTCTAATCTGTCTGTGAAGATGGTACCACAGATGTTCAATAGGATTCATATCGGTTGAGTGGGCAGGCTAGGGCAAAAACGTCAACGTTCTGCTGGTTTAGAAAGTTCTTGCAGTATGGGGCCTGGCATTGTCGTGTTGAAACAATGTCCCCTGCTGTTGGTTTTGTAAGAACGGAAGCACAACTGGCTGCAACACTTGGTCTCTGTACTGCACAGCGTTCAGGTTTCCCTGTATAATCACCAAATCAGTCTTCTGATCTCCACAAATACCGCCCCACACCATGACACCTCCCCCGCCGAATGGATCGACCTCTCGAATACACGCCGGAGCCAAACGTTCCCCTCTGCGTCGATAAATTCTTTTTTAGCCGTCATTTCGAAACAAGTTAAACCGACTTTCATCAGTAAACAGCACTCGACGCCAATTTCTCACTTGCCAGCGTCGAACCTGCCTCGCCCATCGCAGTCTCAGGCGTCGATGTTGAGCAGTCAGTACCTTTCCTCGGAAAGGACGATACGCTCGGATTCCAGCAGCACGAAGTCGTCGTAGTACTGTATGTTGGCTAATGGGATGTCCCAACGCTATTGCTGCCGTCGCCGTCGCCGTTACGAATCTGTTTCGCAGGTGAAAGAGCCGTATCTGACCGTCTTCCAGTGGTGTTGTCACTCGGGGTCGTCCGGTTCTCTTGAACGATACATCGAATCCTCAGCATGGAAATAAGTTACGCAACTACCTCTTTTTAAAAAAAGATCTGGTCCCGGAAATTTACTTGCAAACCACTATATCCAAGAATCTCCAGGAATATCTCTCCAGACTACGTCGTGGAAGCCTCTCCCTTCACGTGGAGACAGGTCGGCACAATATCTGACAAAACCCAAAGCGTATCAAATGTATTGCTTCTACCATAAGAAACATGATTATTAGACGTCAATTTTCATATGATACTTGCATTGTTTATTAATTTACATCATTTTATAACGATAATAGCATTGTGAATTGTATTTTACCGAACATAATGTGATAAATAAGTAGTGTCTCGTGAGCTAAGATATTGCTGAATATTAAACATATTTGATTGTGCTATGAAATGTTTTAACAATGTGTGTTTAACTTGTGACACTTGAATATACTTTGTCTGTCTGTCTGTCTGTCTGTCTATCTGTGTATTTCGTTCGGGTCAGCTATCTGTTCACCTGATCGACGTACTCATCGATCGAGTCCAAATGTTAATTGCATACTTAAAATCGTTTGTTGTTTTTGTCAATCCTTTAACTATAATTTGGTTTATCTTTGTCAATGTAATCGTTAATTAAGCATTGACAATACTTCCCGAGCAACAGTGGGCAAATACGAGAATATTATGTGTTTCTTAAAACAGTATCACACATACAAAAAAGTGATATTCTATTCATTATGCACACGTTATAAATAGATGGCAAGCGCACAGAGCACTTTTGCACAGTTAATGCTGCGCTATACACATGCATATATTATTAAGTGAATATTAAATGCTTCTATACTTTAAATCTTGTCGAAAAGGGCCAACATTGTATGAATAACGTTAAAGTCTGCGCCTGATGTATGCCCACGATGACGTTTGCATAACGTCGACAATGTCACTGAGCACGTAAACCATTAAGTGTGAGGTTTTGTAAGGATTTTGTTATGAAAATAAAAATATACCTTTTTGGACATTTGAGATCTGCCTAGATATGCACATTTTGTTTTATTATTCTGTAATCCGGCCCGACTTTTCTTAGCCCGACTTTTAGGCAATCCAAAAAAATATGTCGCCGTGACGAATTCTTTTCAAAGGTCGACAGGGCTCATTTTAACTCACTGGAAATAGGAAATATAAATATAAGGGAAAAAGACATGTTCATAAAGAAAATTTTCCTGTCAAGTTATTGAGTTATTGCATCAGCAAGTCTGTGACTAGTCTGTCAATTAAAATCGATGAATTAAAACTTTAATTGTTTTTTTTTTACTTATTTGTTTATATCACACGCATAATCATTCGATCGTCTAATATATAATTTACACACAAGGGAGTGAAGATCCGGGGTTGTCGTCAGAGGCATATTCGACTTCGAAGGCTCTGGAAAGCTCGAGGATAGCTTCTGTCGTCAGTGTGCTAGACGCCTCGGCACCGGCCAATGTCTTCACATAGAAATCTTGAAGAAAATCCATATTTCCTAAACTCACAATATCATTTAAGACATCAGAATTCATGTCGAAAACAGTCTCAACGTTTCCTAAATGAACATCGCCGTACATGTTACTTGCATCGGCCATTACTAAGCTGTAGCAGACGACAGACTTACTTACTTACTTACTTACTTTGGAGATTTAACGTGCGCTTTCCGACTGATGCGTATTTCGCACACGGGCCCGGCCAGGCCATTTAATGTGTTTCCGAAAGGGGCGAAGGTGGTCTGTGCAACCCAAGAGGGGGTTTTAGGGGTTGCTTATATAGAATTTGGGAATTTTGAGATTTGGAATAGATGCCGATGGGATTGGGGAGGAGAACTAAGGGAGCTGGGTATGGTGGATGTTTGTTTGTTTATGTGATTTTGATTTGGTAGGTTATTGTGTTTTTAGATGCGTTTTATTAGTTCCGTTTTTATTAAGAATACGCCTAAGGCCTTGAAGTTTTCTAGTTTATTTTGTGGGTTTAGTATTGCTTCTAGAGTTAGAGCCTTGTTTAGATTGAGGGTGGTTTGTAATGCGGTTCGATGTGTTAGGTAGTGTGTGCAGTGGATGAGTGCGTGTTCTGGGGTTTCTGGTTGTTTGCAGTGTGGGCAGTTACCTGTAGTGTGTTTTTTAAAAAAATTTAGGTGGTTATTTAGGTTGGTGTGTCCTGTTTGTAGTTTAGTGA